GAGATGGCGGCAGCTATGCAGGCTAACCCGGCGGTGGTCCTACTCGACAATGGCTGCTCGCACCACCTGATGGAGACGAAGGAGGTCTTCGTCAACCTGTAGCCGAGTGGCGACGTCAAGCACGTATGCCGCTTCAACGGGGCGCTGCCGGACGTACAGGGTCGGGGCACGGTCGCCTTGCAAAGGAAGGCCGGGAAGCACGTGCTGATCCGCGACGTGCTCTATGTTCCAAGCGTACAGGCGAACCTGCTGTCGGCCAGCCAGCTGAAGGAGAACCGTGTGAAGCTGCAGGAGGACGACGACGAGATGCTGCTCGTCTCGGCGGCAGGGGACGTCCTTGGCCGGCCGTCCTATACTTGTTCCAAGAGTACAACCTCTTGCTTTGTGCATCTCGATATTCTTTCCTAGTAAACTCACTTCCACTACTCTTAGATGGTATATGTAACAGTGTGGTAGTCGAATGCTGCCATGTACAGTGCAGGTGGGCGGAAATCAAGCGCCACCTCACCAACTGTTCGTATTGGTCAAACGCCTCAACCTGCAGCTGGGCGACCAGATCCTGACGCGCAGCCCAAGTCAATCCCACGCACGAAAATGACGAAATGCAGAACACCGAAGTTCCGACCCCTCGCCGACTTCGCCAACCACACCGACGAAGTTACAGCCTTGTAATCAACTCGTCGACCAATCCCGCATCGCAATCAATCTATGAATTTCACGGCAAGGTTCATTTCAAGGGGTAGAGTTACCAATAAGAAATTCAGAGTGTCGCGACTTGGTAGTGCGACTCGATTTGTGAATGCATCCTATATAATTGTGTGTGAAATTTGTTGAAAATAGTGGAAATTCCAGAGAACTCCAAAGAGCACTTCATACCCGTTTTCCTAGCCTACTAAGGCTGCTACTTCCCAGTATACTCGTATAGGATAGTTCCTAAGCTTTAGATTAGTTACTTAAATCCCTCCTGGTCAGCCACACCACCAGTTACCTCGTCAGCCAACCAGTCGGCCACAGGCAGCGCGCCTCGGCACTGCGTAGCGCGCAGCACACAGCCCGCTAGCCGCCTACACACCATGCACAAGCAGCAGCAGTGCGCGACACACTAGCAGCAGCAGCGCGCGACACACTAGCAGCAGCCGCGCGCACGCAGCCACCACGGGCACGCAGCAACGCGCGCGCCACGCGCAGCCAGTAGCATCACGTGCAGCGCACGCATTGCCGCGCACTGCAGCGGCTGCACGCATGCCAATAGCCAGCGCGCCAACTGACAGTGCCTGCCTGCCACCAGCGCACGTGCAGCTGCCAACAGCGCTAGCGCCCACAGCAGTGCAGCACACTCTGCGAACAGTCCATCCATACCGTTTTACTCGTTCCGTTTATTCGAGCATGCCAGTTCACGGTATGCTAGCTAATAGAAGCAATGACGCTGGCGTTAGCGGTAGCGCCAGCAGCGGTAGGGAAACCGTGATCCAGGCAATAGATAAAACCGCCATTCACCGCATATGCCCGGGACAGGTAAACCCGATAGGCCAAACCTTTAACTAGTTTTGTCGTTATTCTGCAATAGCCGTTCGTGTGGCCAATCTACTCCGCACAGTTTCCTGCATCCGTCCTAACCCAGGACCACTGGCAATGTCGTCTGCCTCGCGCAGTTTGTCTCGCCCGCCCTCCCCCTCTCCCACCTTTCTCCCCCCCCCCAATCTCCCGCCCCCAATCTCTCCCCCCCTCCCCCCCCTCCCCTTTACCCGGGAGCTCCTCTCGACCCGCAATTGTACCCCGTCCTTCGTCCCTCTCTTGCCACTCGCCTTTCGCCCCGCCGCACGAGCTTGAAATTGGCGCGCTTGGGATCGCAACCCTGGCACGTATCGCAGAGCTGGTGGAGAACACGGACGCGGCTAGTGTAATTCTTGCTTTTCCCAACCAACCACCCCCCTAATCCTCCCCTTACCGCCGCACCCCCAACGCCCCGCGCAGGTGGTGCTGGACGTGGCAGGCGGTGAGGGAGCTGGTGGAGAGCAGTGTCGCTGCCAGTGGGGTATCTGCTTCTTCCCACCACCCACCTGCCGCTTCCCTCCTCCTTCCCCACCCCCTCCCTACCCATCCGCCCCGCGCAGGTGGTGTTAGACGTGGCAGGCGCGGTGAAGGAGCTGGTGGGGAACAGCCTAGGGGCCAGCTTCTCACCACCCAACCCTTGCCTCCTTCCCCCTTCCCCCCTCCTTCCCCTCTCCCTTGCAACCCATCCCCCACGCAGGTGGTGTTGGACGTGGCGGGCGCGGTGAAGGAGCTGGTGGAGAAAAGCCTGGACGCGGGGGCGACGAGCGTGGAGGTGCGCCTCAAGGACTTTGGCGCCGAGCTCATTGAGGTGGCGGATAATGGCTGTGGGGTCGCGCCTCGTAACTGGCAGGTGACGTGAAGGGCGCTCTAGGGACATTGTGGGCGGTTAACAGGTAGCCTGGACGCGGGGGCGGCGAGTGTGGAGGTGCGCCTCACTCAAGGACTTGGGCGCCGAGCTCATTGAGGTGTCCGACAACAGTTGTGGGGTCGCACCCCCCAACTGGCAGGTGACGCCTGCGCTGCCTTCACAGCGTTGAGTGGGCTCCTGGGCGGTCAAGGGGCGTTGAGTGCGGTTGATGGACAGGTTGGACGCGGGGGCGATGAGCATGGAGGTGCGCTTGAAGGACTTGGGCGCGGACCTCTTCAAGATGGCGGACAACGGCTGTGGGGTCACTCCTCCCAACTGGCAGGTGACGACGTGACTGCCTAGGGAGCGTTGAACGAACTCTAGGGGCGGCCAAGGGGCGTTGAGGGCGGCCCGTGGGCAGGCTGGGCGCGCGGGAGCGAGCGTGGAGGTGCGGTTGAGGGGGTGGGGTGCGGAGCTCATCAAGGTGGCGGACAACGGCTGTGGGGTCGCTCTCCACAACTGGCAGGTACAGCTTGGGATCGAGGGTTCTATATTGGCGCTTTAGGGGCGTTGAGGACGGTCGAGGGGTGTTGAGGGCGGTCGAGGGGCGTTGAGGACGGTCAAGGGTCCAGCAGGAGCGGTGGGTGGGCAGGTGCGTGGGAAGGCTGTGTGAATGTAATGAAGTCGGTTGGAGCAGAGTACATGATGAGCAGAGTACATGGTGAGGTGAACGAACGGGTGTGAGGGGCGACATAAGTGGCGTGGCAGGTTCCAGCTTTCAGGTGGGGGCTTGGTCAGTGAGGACAAAGGGGGTGTGGGAGTTAAAGGTACATTTGAAGGAGCCGGGGGCTTGGCAGGTGGCAGGGAGCGGGACGAATCTGACTGGGAACTGGCTGGAGGGTGGAGGGTAAATAGGGGTTGAACTGCAAGCACCACCCACCTGCCAACCCACTGTATTCCGCTTCCACTCAACTCCCCTCCTTCCCTCTATTCCCGTCCTCCCTTCATTTCCCTCTGCCCTACTCTTGCTTCTCCAACCTCTCTTCTCCCTCCTCGCACTTCTCCTGCCTCTCCCCCTTCCTCCACCACCCCCTCCACCCACCCTTCCGCTCGTGCACCGCTGCAGGCACTGACCCTCAAGTACCACACGTCCAAGATCGCCCATTTCGCTGACCTTCAATCGCTCTCCTCCTTCGGCTTCCGAGGGGAAGCCCTCTCCTCCCTCAGCGCCCTTGCTGACGTCACCATCACCACCCGCACCGCCAACGAGCCAATCGCAACGCGGCTGGCGTTCGACCATGCGGGAAAGCTCCTAGACGCCCCTCGGGAACAGGTCGCCCGGGCAGTTGGAACTACGGTCAGTGTGGCGAAGATTTTCTCGCCGCTGCCCGTGCGGCGGCGGGAGTTTGAGCGGAACGTGCGGCGCGAGTTTGCGAAGCTGGTGAGTGTGCTGCAGGCGTAGTGCGTGGTGTCCACGCACGCGCGCATCCTCTGCACCAATCAGAGCGGGCGCAGCAGCGCGCGCATCACTGTGGTGCAGACAGCTGGCACAGGGTTGATGTGCGAGAACATAATCGCTGTGTTTGGCGCCAAGGCTGCTGGAGGCCTCGACCCAGTCGACATCACCTTCCCTCTCTCCCCTGCTGCCACCACCGCTGCCCCTCCTGCTCCTGCTGCTCCTGCTGCTGCTACCGGTGCAGCTGCCACTGCCTCTGCGCTACTACCAGCCTCCTGCTGCAGAGTAGCCGGGTTCCTGTGAAGGCCAGGAGCAGGCAGTGGAAGGTCTTTGGGCGATCGGCAGTTTTTCTTTCTCAACGGGCGTCCAGTGGATCTGCCGCACCTCTCCAAGCTGCTCAACGAGCTCTATCGCTCCTTCAATTCCCTGCAGTTCCCCACCGCTTTCCTAAACGTTTCGCTTAGCGCGGACGCATACGACGTGAACGTGACCCCGGATAAGTGCAAGGTGTTTTTGCACTCGGAGGCGGCGCTGCTGTCGGGGCTGAGAGCTGCTTTATCGGAGTTTTACTCTCCGAATAGGTATGTCTACCGAGCCGCGCCGGCTGGTTCGGTAGCGAAGGAGATTGAGGAACGGGTGAGGAAGGAGGTTGGGGAGAAGGGAAAAGGGAGAACGGGTGTGGGAAGAGGGGTAGGGGATGGGGAGGATGAGGGGGAGGGTGGTGAGGATGGAGAGGAAGAGGGGGAGGGAAGAAGGAAGCGAGTGAGGGTGAATAGTGATAGTGATGGTGGTGGTGGTGCTGTTGGTGCACGAGGCGGTGGTGGAATAAGAGATGTGAATGCTGATGGGAGGGGGAGCAGGAGAGATGAGTTGATTGAGGATGGGGATGGTGATGGGGATGGGGATGGGCAGATGGAGGAGGCGGAAGGCGGGGAGGTGGAGGAAACGGAGGGGGATAGAAGGAAGCCTCTATATCAGTTTGAGCGAGGGGAGGGAGGAGGGAAAGCAACGTTAGTGGCAGCAGTGGGGGAAGCAGCACAATAGGAGGCAATGGAGGGGGCGGCAAGGGGAAAAAGAGCAGCAGGAAGAGCAGCAGGTGGAAGTGCGGGCACACTGCAGTGGAGTGAGAGCAAGGCAGCGGCCATGCGCCGACTACTGCTCATGAGCCCCCAGGGCAAAGGCAAGGCCAAGGGCAAGATGGGCGGAGTGGATGGAGGGACACGTGTGAGGAGAAGAGCTGGGGATGGTTGGTTGGAAGAGGGTGGGAAGGAGTTGGAGGAAGAAGTAGTGGAAATAGAGGAGGATGAGAGGGGGGAGAATGCAAAGGAGAATAGGAGGGAGGATATGAGAGAGGAGGATGAGGATAGTGACGAGGTAAGGGAAGTGGAGCAGGAAGATGGGAAGGCAGGGGAAATGCAAGTGCAAAGGAGTGCAACGGAGTGGAAAGGAGCAGAAAAGAATGATGAAGAAAGGAGTGGTGCTGCCCTATGTGCGGTTGATGGTGGCTTGCAGGAGGCAACCCAAGATGAGTGGGCAGGAAAGAATGTTTTGGATCTGCCCTTGATGACCAAGAAATGACTCAGGCTGACCTGCCCGAACTGGTGGGTTCACAGCTGCTGCCCGGCACCCAGTTGGCCGGGCAGCAGGAAATTTGTGCGGTGGCTGCGGCAGAGGGGGCAGGGAAAGGGAGATGTTGCGGCGGGCACACAGGGGAGTTAGAAGGGGGCGAGAGACATGAGGGAATCGAAGGAAGGGCTAGGGCAGAGGGAATGGAGACAAAAGAGGGGGCTGCATCGGGTACGAAGCGAACCGAGTGGCACGGTCAGGGGAAGGATGGGAGGTGAGGGGCGGAGAAGGCAACGTGCAAGTGCAGTTTGACATGCGGCGCGTACAGCAGGTGTGACGGCGGCGAGCTGACATGTGGGAGAGGGAGGCAAGGGAGAAGAGGGAGGGAAGAAGGGGAGTGGGAGGCCGCGGCAGTGGTGACAGGCAGAGGAGCTTCGCAGCAGCGTCGGTGACAGATTGTGCGAGTAATGCTGCACACAGCAATGGAGGAAGGATGCTTCAGCATGGCGAGGGGGAGGGCAAGGAGGCGGCGTTGGAGGCGGCAGCGAGGGAGCTGGAGCGGTGGTTTGACAAGCGCGACTTTGCTAGCATGGCCGTGATTGGCCAGTTCAACCTTGGGTTCATCATTGGACGGCTGGGATCTGATCTCTTCATTGTGGACCAGGTACAGCATGCATCTTGTGATGAATAACAGATTGAATCACAGCAGGGTGTCAGCCTTCATGTGTACCTACCTACCCTCGTGCTATGAAATACACCTTGTGTTTGTTACTCCTCATTATTCTCTTTGCCACACGTTCAGACGACAATCTCTGTAATCCCTTCCTTTTTTTCGGCATCGCACGTCGCATCCCATATCCCCCTCCCCCAATGGCACATCAGCATGCATCGGATGAGAAGTTCAACTTTGAGCGCCTCATGCGATCCACAGTGCTCAACAGGCAACGGCTGCTCATGTGAGTGCGACTGTGAGTGGGGGGAGCGTGAGTGTGAGTGGGGAGAGCGTGAGTGTAAGTGGGGAGAGCGTGAGTGTGAGTGGTGAGAGCGTGAGTGTGAGTGGGGAGAGCGTGAGTGTGAGTGCTGCTACTGCAAGGGGTGGTTTTATCGTGACATTTTATCAAGTGGTTTTGCAACTTTGCGCTGCTAGAATCTGTTGGGTGCAAATTCACATTGCACGACATCCTGCCGTCTGTTTGTACGAGTATGCGTGTGCGAATGCATTTGGGTGTGAATGGAATGTTCGTGTGTTTGTTTGCTTTCGCAATTTTTTCTTGAAGCATTGTGCGAATCGGCACAACATTGTACGCGCTATGAACAGTACAAGCAGAAAGGACGAGCTTGCAAAGGAACCCAAGATGGAAGCTTTGCGGTTTGGTTGAATTGATTGTGCAGATTCAGTTCTATCCAACTCGAAATTGTACTGTTTTGTTTGGTTGACTATAGTGTAGCAGGGCAGGCACTATAGGGGTACAATTTAGGTGAAGGTTGGATGTTGTTTGTCTGTATCTGCTTGCTACAGGGCCAGGGGAAACCAGCGGAACCAGCATTTGGCTGGTTGGGCAAAGACAAAACAGGTTCTGTTTTTAGGACCTGAACCTGGTTGTTGTTTTCTCAGGTTGGAAAAACAGAACCAGAGGTTGTTTACCAACCTACCACCTGCTGTTTTGTCCAGCCAGGTTGGTTCTGTTGCTTGGAGTTATTTGGGATCATCCCTGGTTGTTCCCAGGTTTATTCCCAAGGTCCTTGCTAGCTAGAACTATTTATTCCTTCTCTGTTTGTACCTGCATATAGTCAATTTGATTCAAGCGAATTCCTCCCTTCCTGGAATTTCGTTTCTACGCGGTGTGACGGCGGAATGCTACCTGAGTCAGCGCTTGTACGCTAGCACTCCAACACTAGGCAAACGCTGTCCGAGCCATAACTTCGTAATGGCAGACTTTTTTGCGAGGCAACTTGGTTCATTTTAAAGCTCTTGGAGCGAGCTTCGATATAGGAAATTCTCAGCTTAATCCGATCGACGGTCTGTACGATACGCAGCGCGACGTTCAAGGTACTCTTGCTGTTTTGACTAAGTCCCTCTTGATCCCTCTCTCTACAAACTCGGACCCGAGGATAGGGGCTGGTCTTGTACCAGGCACCCAAGGACCCTTGGAGGTGACCCCGAGGAGAGGTTTTAAGTTGGATAAAGTCTTAATAGCTTGAGTTGATTAGGCCCTTATACCAACAGAATCAGCAATGCCTCCTCTGTCCCAAGCTGCTGCTCTGCTACATCAGCTCCTGCAGTCAGCTTCTTAGTAGCCATACGGGTACTTCCTGGCCTGGAGACGGGTGTCTCCCGTCCCCTCATAACAACACCCTTCAGCTTCTTAGTTTTCCCCTGCTGCTGCTCTCCTCCCTCGGATCCAGCAGCTCCACTAGTAATACCGCTAGTCTCCACACAATTGTTTTCACCAGCAGGTGCCTCCTGCACCTTCTTTCCATCACCACCCTCTGCAGCTGCCTCCTCTCCCTCCTCCCACACACTAGGAGTCAGGTCCAGCTGCATGGTGATCTGCTCCATCTGCTGGGACACCATGGCCTCCGGCTGTTTCTTCCAGCTCCCATACATCATGCCCTCAACAAACTTCACATCCCTGCTGTCAAACAACACACCCTTGGAAGGTTCCCACAGCAGCCATCCCTTGCTCTCAGCAGCCCGCCCCAAATGCACACACCAGATTGCACTTGCCCCCAACTTACTGCGGTAGGTCTTGGGGACGTGGGCGACTGCCATGCAACCGAACACCCTCAGCATGTCCACCGGCGGCTTCCTCCCAAGCCACCTCTCCAACGGCACCCACAAGTCATCCCCAACCTTGGTGAGTACCCTGTTCCTAGCGACGGTAGCGTGCCGAACAGCATGGGGCCACATCAAGTTGCCCAGCCCAGATTCTATGAGCAGCGCCCCTAGCTGTCTCCAGAATTGTCCGGTTCGCCCGTTCTGCTACACCGTTAGACTGTGGGGTGTAAGCCGTGGTCAGCTCCCTCTGGATGCCCTGCTTCTTAAGCCAGGCGTCTCCTTGCTCCCCCTTCTTCTCCGCACCGCCGTTGCTGTTCGGGTTGTTGTCGGACGAATTGGCGACAATGTTCGCGCCGTTTTTCTGGTTCCTCCGCGCGCCGCCATCCTGGTGACGATTCTGGGGGGTCCATCCATCGGGTTTCTTATAGCACAAAAACCAGGGGTGCCCCTCCTTCTCACAATACCAGCAACTCCCTTTCATTTTGCCACCAGCACCCGACTTGCCCCCACGTCCAGATTTCGCACCGCGACCCCAACTGGTACCTCCTTGTTGGTCGTTGGAGTCGTCGTCCTTCTTTGCACCGCGTCCAGCACCACCGAAGCCACGTCCTCTACCATGTTGGCTCCCTTGCATCCCGTAGCCGCTGCTGCCGTCGTCTCCACCTTTCAGTTGGCGGCGACGGAAGTCCTCCTCCAGAACCTTTGTCCGCACCCACTTGAGTGTCCACGAGCTCTGGTTCTGCGGCAGGCTCAATCCGCTCGTGAATTGAAGCCACGATTCCGGCAGCAGCGATAGCATCTTCAAGCACTTGGTCTGCTCCGGGTAGGTGATTCCCGCGGTCGCCAACTTCGTGTAGAGGTCGCGCATCTTGTCCAGGACAGGTTGCACCGGCTCTCCCTCGCTCAGGCGCAACGCGGACAGCTCCCTCTCCAGCATCAACGTTGCAACAACGGAGGTCGGGGCGTGCAGCTCCTTTAATACGGTCCACGCTTTCGGACCGCACTCAACCTCTGGCAGCAGGTGCATGACGTGGTGACACTGGTTCAGCTCCAAACTCTGAGACATCAAATAGTAGCCAGCTGAGGAGCGCTCGTCCCAATCTTCCTGCAGCGCGGGGTCACTCGGTCTAGGCTCCTCCCCAATCATTAGTTTCAGCAATCCAATCTGACGGAAATATAGTTGCATTTTCCAGGCCCAATCATCATAGCCCTCACCATTGAACTTCTCGACGGTGAAGTTATTCAGCACCTCCTTGACCAGCGAGCCCTGGTTTGTTCGCGCTCCCCTTGGCGCTGAAACACCAGAATCTTGGCTGTCGCTACGATCTTGGGCTGAAGATTCACCAGCTCCCGTCGAGGTGTTGCCCGCCATAGCTACCTATATCGAGGATCACTATAACGCAGCTCTGATACCAGCTTGTTGGTGTAAGGGCCTAATAAACTGAAGCTATTAAGACTTTATCCAACTTAAAACCTCTCCTCGGGGTCACCTCCAAGGGTCCTTGGGTGCCTGGTACAAGACCAGCCCCTATCCTCGGGTCCGAGTTTGTAGAGAGAGGGATCAAGAGGGACTTAGTCAAAACAGCAAGAGTACCTTGAACGTTGCGCAGCGTATCGTGCAGACCGTCGATCGGATTAAGCTGAGAATTTCCTATATCGAAGATCGCTCCAAGAGCTTTAAAATGAACCAAGTTGCCTCGCGAAAAGTTCTGCCATTACGAAGTTATGGCTCGGACAGTGTTTGCCTAGTGTCGGAGTGTTAGCGTACTAGCGTTGACTCGGGTAGCATTCCGCCGTCGCACCGCGTAGAAACGAAATTCCAGGAAGGGAGGAATTCGCTTGAATCAAATTGACTATGTCCAGGTACAAACAGAGAAGGAATACATAGTTCTAGCTAGCAAGGACCTTGGGAATAAATCTGGGAACAACCAGGGATGATCCCAAATAACTCCAAGCAACAAAACCAACCTAGCGGGACAAAACAGCAGGTGGTAGGTTGGTAAACAACCTCTGGTTCTGTTTTTCCAACCTGAGAAAACAACAACCAGGTTCAGGTCCTAAAAACAGAACCTGTTTTGTCTTTGCCCAACCAGCCAAATGCTGGTTCCGCTGGTTTCCCCTGGCCCTGTAGCAAGCAGATACAGACAAACAACATCCAACCTTCACCTAAATTGTACCCCTATAGTGCCTGCCCTGCTACACTATAGTCAACCAAACAAAACAGTACAATTCCGAGCTGGATAGAACTGAATCTGCACAATCAATTCAACCGAACCGCAAAGCTTCCATCTTGGGTTCCTTTGCGAGCTCGTCCTTTCTGCTTGTACTGTTCATAGCGCGTACAATGTTGTGCCGAAGCGCACAATGCGCGAGTACCTGCAAATGCTTCAAGCAAAAATTGCGAAAGCAAACAAACACACGAACATTCCATTCACACCCAAATGTATTCGCACACGCATACTCGTACAAACAGACGGCAGGATGTCGTGCAATGTGAATTTGCACCCAACACACGATACGCTGCGCGACGTTCAAGGTACTCTTGCTGTTTTGACTAAGTCCCCCTTGATCCCTCTCTCTACAAACTCGGACCTGAGGATAGGGGCTGGTCTTGTACCAGGCACCCAAGGACCCTTGGAGGTGATCCCGAGGAGAGGTTTTAAGTTTGATAAAGTCTTAATAGCTTGAGTTTATTAGGCCCTTACACCAACAGTTCTCGGCTATCTGTGCTTGTTCTCTGCTATCTGTGCTTGTTCTCTGCTATCTGTGCTTGTTCTCTGCTATCTGTTCTTGTTCTCTGCTATCTGTGCTTGTTCTCTGCTATCTGTGCTTGTTCTCTGCTATCTGTGCTTGTTCTCTTCTATCTGTGCTTGTTCTCTGCTATCTGTGCTTGTTCTCTGCTATCTGTGCTTGCTCTCTGCAACCATGTTCCTCCTCTTGCCTCTCCATGCAGGCCTTAACGGCTGGATCTGTCGCCAGCCGAGGAAGTGATTGTATCGGCACACATGCCAACGTTCAGGTGCACTTGCTAGTATTGTGTATGATGCCATCACATCATTGATCTAACGAATTTAACACACTATGACCAAATGTTGTGGTGCCGTCACACCATGTGTCACTCCTAGCCAGTAAGTGTAGCGCACACACATGTAGCGCACACACATGTAGCGCATACACATGTAGCGCACACACATGTAGCGCACACACATGTAGCGCACACACATGTAGCACACACACATGTAGCGCACACACATGTAGCGCACACACATGTAGCGCAGACACATGTAGCGCACACACATGTAGCACACACACATGTAGCGCACACACATGTAGTGCACACACATGTAGAGCCACACATCGGCCCTTCGGACTCGTCTCCTTTCCTCTCCACTGCCTAGTTTGCCAAACACTTACTTAATTAACCCGTTCCATCAGATCCAACGGCTTTCATTTCTCAATGGATGAGTGTGCTCCATCCGGCCGTCGCTTCCGCCTCTCTGCCGTCCCTTTCTCTAAGAACACCGTCTTCAGTGCTTCTGGCGAGTTCGGCCCGTGATGACTTCATATGCTGCCACTCGTTATTCCGCGTGTGATGAGTCGATTTTTGAGTCCGCGTGTGATGAGTCAATTTTTAGTCCACTCAAAAATCGACTCATCACTCGCGATTTTTGAGTCGACTAAAAAATGACGGCTTCATATGCTGCCACTCATTATTTCTCAGAAGATGTTGAACAGGATCCAGACCAGTGCTGCATACTCCACTGTCAACCTGACCCCAGTACACTCCATTTGCACAAGCATTCCCCACCTGCCAACGTATTCTGATACCTTAGATCTGTCATCGACTTTGCCCCTGTCGGCATGATCGTGCAAGATTAAAGCGTGCCCTATTTGCGTTTCCTCCCCTCTTCATCCAGATGTGTGTGAGCTCATCTCAATGCTGGCTGATGCGCCTCTTCCCGAACCGGTGTCTGCTGCTCACTCTGCCACTCTCACTGCAACTGCTGCCGCCCAAGATGCAACGTGTGGCATAACAGGTTCTGGAAACCACCAAGAAGCTTCTCTGTGTGCGAGCTCGACAAGTTCAGTGCGTAATGAGAGGTCTGGAGGTGCACCAGCAAGGTCTGAAGATCAGGAGTCTCGATCTATGGTTGTATCAGCACCAGCATCAGTACCATCAGCATCGCCATCAACGGCTGTAGCAACTGCGTCATCAACAGTTGTGGCGGTGCGGCCATCATGGGTGCGGGCCATGCTGGCTTCGAGAGCATGCAGAAGCTCTGTGATGATTGGCACGGCACTCAGCCAGGCGCAGATGAGCAAGGTATGACGATTAATTGCTTGGCTCTCTCTTTGCTTTCTTTCTTTCTTCCTTTCCACCTTTCTTTGTTTCTTTTGTTCTCCTTTTATCGGCCCTCTACTCTGCAAGTTCTAAGAGAGCCTTATGATTAGAAAACATTAATATATGGAATGTCAATATCCACCAATTTTTTCTGCCTCGTATGCATGGTGTTGCAGATCCTCTGCCAGCTCTCAACATTGCAGTCACCTTGGAATTGTCCCTATGGTCGACCAACCATGCGCCACCTATTTGACTTGAGGCTATTGGAGAAGAACATGCAAGGCATTGACACATCCATCTTTCATGAAGTTGCTCAACAAATTTGCTTGTACGGAATTTGTTGATCGAACCGTACATAACTGATTAATCGAGTGTATGTAAAATTGCATGACTATCTTCTGTACATTTATTCATTGTGTACAGCATTGGCCTTTTCTGGAGTGAAGCCAACTTATCAAAGCACAAAGGAGTAACAACCAGCTGCTGCTTATTTTAAAATGTGTGTATAATTCTAGGAGACAGCTTCTTACACGGAAGAGGGACCACCAAATCGAGGTAGCCCGTCTTCGTCGAGGCCTGCCGGAACATGCGAGGGAGAGCACGGGAAGGAAGGTGGAAGCAACGACTAGCGCCTGTCGAACTTTCTAGAAGGTTCGTTCGATACCGTTGGATTTTTCAAGCGCAACACACTAGCCAATGGTTGTGACGTCCGCTTCAAGCTAACTCACGGCCGAGTCGCACGAATTTGAATTGCGGCGCACGCCTGGTCGCTTCGGCCAAAGAATATACTGGCCTTGGGGCTAGTTCGGCAGGCATTATGGGCCTTATGGGCATTATGGACATTTTAACGGGCCCCCAAAAAATGCCGCCTCGAAACAGCTTCGAAATCAGACTGTAGCTGCACTGCACCTTCGAAAAAAACGGGGCGGAGTGTTCGGTAGGCATTAATTGGGTTTCGATTGATGGCATCAATCGAAATTTGTCTTCACAGGAGCCGGAAAGCAGCTGCGCTGATGGAGTGCATGATCACTGTACAGGCAGCCCGGGCCTGCCCTGCAAACCAGTGGTCCTGTCGAAAAAAACGGTAGCCATCGATGTGTTAGTAATGGTATGTTGGTGGGTTTTGAATTTAACCCTGGCAGGAAGAGGGGTCAAAAACAGCCGGGATATGTTTCTTTCAGGGCACGGTGTGATTGCCCCGAATCACTGATCCTCCGCATGGTGCCGGACCTCGAGACCGCATGGTGCGGCAGATCAGAAAATGGGCACTTTGCCAGAGAAACAGGGTTCGTAAAAAATTCCTATGGTGGAAAACGCCAGCGTTAAAAGGGTTGTTCGGCTGGCATTTCATTATTGTCTGGTTCGGGTTGATCCGCTTACATCGAGCCTTGATAAACCTTTCACGCGCTTATCAAGGAAGGTTGTAGGGTGGTCGATTTACAGTAGCCTATCCCTCGAGCCCGTTTTTTAATGCCTGCCGAACTGGGCCTTGTTCTCTAGGCACCTCCGTTAATTTTCAACGCCGTTTGGGTGCTTCGGAGATGATGAGGAACCAGGCTTACCAGGCTCGGCATCAACCGAACCTAGGACGTTAATTTTTAACCCGTTATTTTACAGAGCAACACATTTTCGGCGTCAAAATTTGATTGTGAGAAACCAGAGGGACATTTCACTCTCAGGCAAATCTTGACGCGGTTAAAAATTGACCCAACCAACCTCTCGAGGTAGGTTGGGTCAAATTTTGACCACGACGGTGAGGTTGATTGCGCCCTGCTGTACACCCTGGTCAAATTGAAGTGGGTGAGTCATTAGAACTTCTGATCTGAACAGCTAACCCTATCGGAATTGGGCTGCTGACAAATTATCTTGGGGCCCACATAATTTGCCTCGAATTTGAATCGGTTCTTCCAAGAACGTGGGAGCCAAATGGCTAACCTGTTCATTTTTAATGGCTGTCCCAAAGAACGGCAGTCGAACGTTGATTTTCAACGTCATTACGCACTTCTAGGTACTTGCGTTCTTTGAGAAGACAGTGAAACAATGCAGAAGGAAACACCTCCGTTAAAAGGTGTTACAAATTAACGAAGGGGACTAGAGAACAAGACCACTGTTAATAAAGCAGTCCGCCTGATCGTAATCAATTTGCCATCGATCAAGTTCACTCTCTCTAATTTGCTCGCAAAAACTAGCACATAGAACGCATCCTACAGGTCGAAAAGTTGTGTAGCGCTGCCGAACTTCCGTCTACGTTAACGAGCACAAATTAGTCGTGCTCATCTTCTACGTTCAGACTCAATAAGCAAATCCCAATGGCTCCCACCAACAACTGCGCGTGCGGTAGCGCCTGCGCCTGTTGCGTGCGCAACAACGCCTGCGCCTGCAAGACGATAACTGCCGCAACTTGCGCCTGCAGCAGCGGCGCTGCGTGCAGGTGCAGCCCGGGCTGCGCGTGCGACTCGTGCACGTGCCGCTCCGCTGGCAGCGCCGGAGGAACCGGGGCGCAGGATGCGGTGGTAGTAACGCGAACACCGGCACTTACGCCTCTGGCGCGAGCTGCTGCTGCGGAGAAGGCTGCTCCGGCGCAAACTGCAGCTGCGGGGAGCACTGCTCAGGCGCGGGGTGCGCTTGCGGAGGGGGCGGAAGTGGCGGATGCACATCTGGTGCTAACTTCCGCTGTGGGGAGAGCTGCTCTGGCGGATGGTGCGCTTGCAGAGAGGCAAAGGGAGTGAAGTGCGCGTCTGGCGCTAGCTGCGGCTGCGGAGAGAAGTGCTCAGGCGCAGGTTGTTCCTGCTGAAAGTAGGTTTGACGATGAATGAATGTGCCGTGAAGTGCGGTGCGAACAGATCAGCATAGCTTGTACGGCTAGTAGAACTACTATCCATGTTGTCTTTGATTGTCTGTTCTTTATTGAGTGAATTTGACAACACAAACAATCCACTCTGCCCCATGCCATCATCCGTTCACGGGTACTCCCTTGGCATTCAAGAGCTATGTAATTCAGGTCTGGCAAATAACTGCTTATCTTTTCTATCCATGCATGAACGCTCCCATAAAACATATGCATAGCAGAGCTTGAGCACAAAATCTCAGCATGGGCACAAATCATTTTCCTCAAATGATGTCACAAAAGTTCTGCGTAGCAGAGCTTGAGCACAAAGTCTCAGCATGGTCCAGTGTCTACTGAAAGCCCTCAGTCTTCACAACGAACTTGAATCCAAGTTTTTTTTCACGAGTAGGTACATTACGGAGGAATCCTGCCAGCCAGCTCAAGAGATGAGTCCACAAATGAACCAACTTAGCTCAACACCGAGACTCTGAAGCCATCCAGATATCATGCCCTATTTGACACTTGCGTTCACAACCGTGGATGTGCATGGCCCTGCTAACGTCATCATGGGTGTGTCCTGGAACATGGCCACCCCCGTGCCGTCCGTGCGCAGAAACTAGAGGGGCGCACAGGCAGGGCAAGAGAGGGGAAAAGTGTGCACAGTGCACGGGAGGAAAGGGAGGGAGAGTGGGGAGGAACGGAAGATTGCGACCATGGGCAGAAACTCATGGGGCGCAGGGAACGGGAAAGAGCGGCAAGGGGAGCTCAATGAGGACAAGGGGGGCCACTGGAAAGTGGGTAGCACGTACCGGCTGTAGCAGCAGCAAGAAAACATACTGGCTGTAGCAGCCACGCAACATACCGGCTGTAGCAGCCACGCAACATACCGGCTGTAGCAGCCACGCAACGTACCGGCTGTAGCAGCCACGCAACGTACCGGCTGTAGCAGCCACGCAACGTACCGGCTGTAGCAGCCACGCAACGTACCGGCTGTAGCAGCAGCAAGGCAACCTACCGCCTGTAGCAGCAAAGCAACCAACCGGCTGTAGCAGCCACGCAACGTACCGGCCGTAGCAGCCACGCAACGTACCGGCTGTAGCAGCAGCAAGGCAACCTACCGGCTGCAGCAGCAAAACAACCTACCGGTTATAGCAGCCATGCAACATACCGGCTGTAGCAGCCACGCAACATACCGGCTGTAGCAGCCACGCAACATACCGGCTGTAGCAGCCACACAACATACCGGCTGTAGCAGCCACGCAACGTACCGGCTGTAGCAGCAGCAAGACAACCTATTGGCTATAGCAGCAAAGCAACCTACCGGCTGTAGCAGCCACGCAACATACTGGCTGTAGTAGCCACACAACCTACCGGCTGTAGCAGCCACGCAACATACCGGCTGTAGCAGCAACACAACTTACCGGCTGTAGCAGCAACACAACCTACCGGCTGTAGCTTCTTAAGGAGCTTTTTCTTAGGGTTGAGCACCTCCTCTGGCTTGCCGTCCACTCTGATGGGATGAGGGATGGACAGGTGCGGGTGGGAGAGGTGGGTGGGAGTATAAGGTGGGTGGGGGTATGGGGGATGGGAAGGTGGGGGCAGCTTCTCAAAGAGCTTCTTCTTGGGGTTGAGCACCTCCTCTAGCTTGCCGTCCACTCTGTGTGATGCGGGCATGGACGGGCGGGGGGAGGGCATGGGCGGGTGGGATAAGGGAATGGACAGGTTCAGGGAAGGGTGAAGAGAGGAAGGTATGGGTGAGTTGCGGAACAGAGGCCATCCCTGCAGGCTTGCAACAGATTCTCTGATGCAGTGAATGCTGATGGTTGGGAGATGGGGCGCGGAGAGGAACAGTGAGGAAGGAGAGGGTGAGCAGGACCGCAGGACAAAGGAGAGAAGATAAAACAAGGCCGTTAGGAGTAAGGGCGAGAGTGGGTAGGAGGGAAAGAGAACGATAAGGACGTAATAATAATGCATCGAACACCCTCCCTGCTCTCCTCAAACTCTCACTTGTATTTGAAATCCTCCCAGCTGTTTCTACCTTTTACCTTTCCCCCTTTCCCTGCCTCCCTCCCTCCCTCCCTCCCTCCCTCCCTCCCTCCCTCCCTCCTCTCACATTATCTATTAACGCACCTCCCTCCCGTCATCCCCCATGCCCCACCCATTGCCCGCCTCACCCAGCGAACGTGATCTTCTCGCCGATGGCTGCCCCCTCGGGTGGTTGCATGGGGCGGCACACTGTGTGGTCCTCGTTGGACGCACACAGCACCTGATAGCCTCACGGGAATGGGGGGTGGAGGGAGCTTAGGTGGGCGGGAAAGTGACATCTGAGTCCACTTAACAACCCTCAGGTGGCTGCACGGGGCGGCATACAGCGGATGGAGGGAGGAAGGCCAGTCAGGTGCAGAGTGGAGGGGGGCGAGGTGTGTGGGGGCCAGGTGGCAGAAATCTAGCTAATGCATAGCTGGGATATGAACAACCACCGCAGACGCATATGCTGCACCTACTTTGCGACAAGATACCACAAAACCCGTGATCACGGATTTTGTGAAGCTCCTAGTTGGAAGACCCTATGTGCGACATCACCCACATCCCCGCGAAGTTTCTCTTCACAATCCCAGGCCAGATGGCACCTGCGAAGACTGCTACGCGCCCACTGCGTCAACAAACGTGATCGGTGGCTGCGGCCTTGCCGCCATCGCTGAAGCCAAAAGGTCCGCGCCGCCAGAAGAAGGGATGTCAGCGCTTGAGTTGGAAGTTATGACGCAGCGCGTCTTCGGAGCTGAACATCCCCTCCTGAGCTCACCCTCATAACAGCTCTACGGAATATTTCGGGGATAATGTCGCAGAACCTTCGACGCACGCGAAGTGGCGCGTCCCTACATGAAAGAAGAGTTTTTGAAGGTCTACCCCCACTGGCGCGACCCCACAAAGAAGCTCCCGTCGCGTTAGAAGAGGAGCTGGGACGGCGCGAGCGAAGCGCGCGGCACTTTCGCATGCAGAGCTTGGGGTGCAGAAGAAGAAAGTGCCTCCAATGAAGGGGGGTGGAGAAGAACTGAAGAGTGACACTGGCAGATGGTGCGCCACAACTTGCGGCGACGCAGGCGGCTTGGGCACCTTCGGTGAAGGCTGGAGCACTTACCGAGAAGAACAAAGGGGGGAAACAGATGAGCCTGAAGAAGCCGAACCTCCTGTTGTTCCCCTCAATTGCCCTCCACGCCTTGCTGCGCCTGCGTTACTCTCGCCTGATGTACAACCGCATCGCGATCCTTGGGACACCATCGACTGGGGCAATGAACCTTCGACCCCACATCGCACAGTCTACGGACCTAATCCCGAGCCGCATGATCCTACCCTCGTCTCCAGAACAATCGTCGGGACCAACGTTCCCCTCGCCGTGATTCTTGACAGGGGATCTTTGGCGCTAATCCTAACAACAGCGAACGAAGAAGCGCTCGAAGAAGAAGCGCCGGCGGAGCCTACTCTAGTACCACAAGGAGAACCCGAAGCAGTACGCCCTCGCTACATGCGCACCTCCGGGCTCCACGCAAACGATGACATGAAGCATTAGCTTGGTCACCCCTTGCACGTAACATTGAACAACTGCATCGAAGCTAGCGTCTTTGCACCTGGCGCACTCTTACGCCCTGACGGCACCAAGCTTAGGACAACATCGCAGCAGCACCTGCACCGTCTGCCTCGAAGCTGGAGCCAGGAACCAACCACTACCCAAAGCTGTACAAAGCGTACAATGACAATCTGGTCGTTGGGCATTGCGGACTCAATGATGAATAGTATACCCTCACATTCGTCGACGCAGGAACACGATACGTATGGGTCACCAACGTGTAGTTCCGTAACAGAGCTTACGAGGTTTTCCACCTCTGGCTGGCACATGTGCAACGACAATCCAGCAAGAAGCTCCAAATATGGCAGACTGATGGCGCAGAAGAATTTCGCAGCAAGGAGATACAGGACTACTTGGTGCAGAATGAGATCTCGCATCATATCTCCCTTCCTTACGTGCATCCACAGCAGAGTGTCGCCGAGCGCACGAATTGCACCCTCATGATGAAGGTGCGCGCGCAGTTGAAGCATTCAAAGCTCCAGCCAATCTACTTGCCGTACGCAATGCACCACACCGTGCAGGTGCATAATCTGCTCTCCACTACTACCATCACGAGCAATCTCTTCCCCCACATGAAGTGGACTGGCACGAAAGGTGACACTTCCATGCTCTGTGTATGGGGGTGCATGGTGTAGTATCGACCGCCAACCTCAACAATCGGCAAGTTCGAAAGAGGCGCGCGCTGGGGCATTCACCTAGGCATAAGCTACGAACGCACGCGACGTCATTTTCTATGAACGGCTTAACCTCGCACAGTTCCGCGAAGATGAGAAAACAAACGCAAACCCCGTTTACGCAAACGACGGGCACAGCTACGTCACACCCATGGACAAAGCACTGCAGTGATCCTTGAGCAGGAAAACACTAGCAAATTTTCCGGGGTCGATCGCCCACAGCAGTGACGATGACGATGAGGAGCCGTCAGGACGAGGAGCCGTCAGCAGGAGGAAGCAGCAGAGATACCGCACCGCCACCGCCACCTGAGCCAGAGAGTGACAACGATGACGTGCAGGAGGTCATCACTAAACATCGCCACGATAGCACTGTCTCAAGGCTGCACCTGCTAGGACTACACACCGCCACCTCAGCAACGCCACGTGTCACCGAGCCCAAGAACCCACGGCAAACACTCACGGGACGATACAAAAAAGAGTGGCGCGAGGCAATGGATGCAGAAAGCAAAGCGCTTGAGACCCACGACACATGGGTACTCGTCGACTGCGCCGCAATCAATGAGAGAAGAATTCTTTCGCAATCAACGTACGTGTGAAGACCGCTGCAAAGGGCACGACCAAGCGCTTCTGTTGGGTGCAAATTCACATTGCACGACATCCTGCCGTCTGTTTGTACGAGTATGCGTGTGCGAATGCATTTGCGTATGAATGGAATGTCCGTGTGTTTGTTTTCTTTCGCAATTTCTGCTTGATGCATTTGCAGGTACTCGCGCAATGTGCGCTTCGGCACAACATTGTACGCGCTATGAACAGTACAAGCAGAAAGGACGAGCTCGCAAAGGAACCCAAGATGGAAGCTTTGCGGTTCGGTTGAATTGATAGTGCAGATTCAGTTCTATCCAACTCGAAATTGTACTGTTTTGTTTGGTTGACTATAGTGTAGCAGGGCAGGCACTATAGGGGTACAATTTAGGTGAAGGTTGGATGTTGTTTGTCACTCTCTGCATGCTACAGGGCCAGGGGAAACCAGCGGAACCAGCATTTGGCTGGTTGGGCAAAGACAAAACAGGTTCTGTTTTTAGGACCTGCACCTGGTTTTTGTTTTCCCAGGTTGGAAAAACAGAACCAGAGGTTGTTTACCAACCTACCACCTGCTGTTTTGTCCAGCCAGGTTGGTTCTGTTGCTTGGGATTATTTGGGATCATCCCTGGTTGTTCCCAGGTTGATTCCCAAGGTCCTTGCTAGCTAGAACTATTTATTCCTTCTCTGTTTGTACCCGGATATAGTCAATTTGATTCAAGCAAATTCCTCCCTTCCTGGAATTTCGTTTCTACGCGGTGCGACGGCAGAATGCTACCCGAGTCAACGCTAGTATGCTAGCGCCCCAACGCTAGGCAAACGCTGTCCGAGCCATAACTCTGTAATGGCAGAACTTTTTGCGAGGCAACTTGGCATATTTTAAAGCTCTTAGAGCGAGCTTCGATATAGGAAATTCTCAGCTTAATCCGATCGACGGTCTGCAAGATACGCAGCGCGACGTTCAAGGTACTCTTGTTATTTTGGCTAAGTCATTCTTGACTCCTCTCTCTACAAACTCGGACCCGAGGATAGGGGCTGGTCTTGTACCAGGCACCCAAGGACCCTTGGAGGTGACCCCAAGGAGAGGTTTTAAGTTTGATTAAGTCTAAATAGCTTGAGTTTATTAGGCCCTTACTCCAACAGCTTCAAGGCGCGTTGGGTCGTACGCGGCTATAACCAGAGGCACGGCATTGATTTTGACTAGACGCTTTGTGCCTGTCAGCCGTCATACCACCGTCAGAATCCTACTTGCGATCGCCGCCGAAAGAGACTTACCGCTCCGTCAAGTCGACGTGAAGAACGCATTCCTCTAAGCTTTGGTGGATGCGGTAATCAACGTGGAGCAACCGCACATGTACGGTGAAGGAGGTTTACGGGTGTGCCAGCTGCAAGAACTCCTCTACGGGATCAAACAGGCCCCGAGGTCCTGGCAACAGTGTATGCACAACATTTTTCTCGAGATAGGCTTCAAGCAACTACCTCACGATGTAGGAATGCACCTCCGCAGCGATAACACTCTGCTCATGGTGTACATCGACGACCTACTTTACACAGGGTCAAGCAACGAGCTGCTCGAACAGTTCGAAAGGAATTTAGTGATGCGCGTCGACATCACTTGCAACCATGACGTGAAGTAGTTCCTTTGTCTTAACATCTCCTACGTGCCAGAAGCCATTCATCTCTCGGCCGCCAAGTACGCTGAGGAACTTAGCAAACGCTTCAACGACATGCTTGCACCACTTTCCACGCCTTACTGCACTCCTTGACAGAACCACAAACCGGACAACAAAGCCCTGTCCCCTGCTGGGATTCGGACTTACCAACAATTGCTGGCCTTGCTGCTTTTTGCCTCAGTGACGTGCAGGCCAGACCTCTCCTACATCGCGAGCCAGCTGGCTCAGTACTCCCGCAAACCAACAGCTGAGAATCGAATCTTCTAGATCTTCAGCGCGCTCTGCAGTTCTTCATCCCCACGCCCAACATTGGGCTCTGTAACAACCCCAACCTTCAGCCTCATCGGCTATATAGACGCCGATCATGCCGCTGACCCCGAAAATTGACGGTCCAGAACTGTGTTCCTATTCCGCCTCGAGCCA